ACCACAACACTCTTTTGTTTGTCAGATTTCCACGGCACCAATTGGAACTGAAAAATAATCTTGTCATCCCCGACTCGCCTGTTTCTATAAATACCATATTACACCAAATTGGTGCCATTTTGACCCTTTTTTATGAAACTGATTTGTGCTGAGTTTCGTCGCTGTGGCTACTCAGAGCAAAGGCTGCGTGTGCGCACTTTCCCTAAATCATTTTCCACGACGGATGCTGCATCTCATGAAATTGTCTAACAGCTTGCTATCTGTTTTGTTTTGTGTGTGTGTGCATCATCTCAAGAGAACACGAGAAACAAATACTAACAAACAAATACTAATATTCATGCATGCACAGTGCACATTTATAGAACAGTGTTGTTTTAGTTAAGAGCATGTCCACCAAAGCTCCTCTGTGGAGACTTTCCAGACTGTGTGGGCTTCATAAGGCCTTTAAATGGTGAAACATAAGACTGGAATGCTGTTCTTTAACAGATTCTGCTCAAGTTCTCTTCTGAAAAACTGTAAATGTAATCTGCTCCACAGGTAATGTTACACAAACAAAATTCAGTTCAGTTCAATTCAATACTGAATTGAAGAAATACTTTTAATAATCACAAAAACACTTGCCTCGTGGTGTTTTATATTATAAAGACCCTACAATAGTACAGAGAAAACAGAAAAAATACAATAATCAGATGAGTTCTATGAGCAAGCACTTGTTGACAGTGGGAAGGAAAAACTCCCTTTTAACAGGAAGAAACCTCTGGCAGAACCAGGCGAGGGGAGGAAGGAGAAAAGAGAGCAAAAATGAATAATAATAACAAACAATTAAATGATGAAATAGAAGCTTTTGCTAATTGGATCAAACTGTGACTATTGAGCAACACGGTGGCACGGTGGTACGGTGGTTAGCACTGTTGCTGCACAGCAAGAAGGTCCTGAATTCAATTTCACCTTCAGGTCTTTCTGTGTGGAGTTTGCATGTTCTCCCTGTGTTTGCGTGGGTTCCCTCCAGGTACTCCGGCTTCCTCCCACCGTGCAAAGACATGTAGCTTGTGGGGATAGGTTAATTGATTAATTCAAATTGCCCAAAGGAGTGAATGTGGGTGCGAATGGTGGTCCATCTCTGTGTCTTAACCCTGCCACAGACTGGCGACCTGTCCAGGGTGTACCCTGCCTCTCGCCCTATGACAGCTGGGATAGGCTCCAGCACCTCCTGCGACCCTGAAAAGGATAAGCGGAAGCGAATGGATGGATATGACTATTGAGTGGACTGTGTGGAAGGACTTTGTGATTATTTTGTCTCTCGGCTAGTGAAGCAGGATGGAGATGATCGCTCCAAGTAATGTATGATGCATTTACAGCCTGAATTCAAACAAAAGCCACTCCCATAGAATTCAATTACTTCACAAGCTGCCAGGGCAAGCCTGCATGTAATCCTGAGGCTTTTTGACAAAGGAATATGACGACTTCTTGACAGAGACACTAGGAATCCATTAGGCATCAGCACGCTCTCTGCAGTGAATGGACTGAGATTTTGGATGATTCATTCTCCGGTCTCTTCTCTCAGTGTTTCTGCTTAGTTGGGCAAGAGATGGGTGGGGGGGCAAGCATTCCTCTGCTTGTTTTAAAAACACAGGATGACACAGTTGAGCCCACATGCATTATTCAGCTCACATTAGAGCCCGTCCTTTGGAGTCTCAATTTCATTACAAAATCACAAGGTATGACAAATTCTAGCCTACAGAAAGTAATCTGAAACTATCATTATACTTTGAAATAGACAGTGGAGAACAATTTTTCTCTGTGTTTCAAGCAGTTTGTGTTGAGCGGTCATAAACAACAACAAAAAAAAGTCAGAAAATAAAAAGCATTTCATTGGACTTCTTAGGCTGAAAGGCACCCATGATTAGGCCAAAATGTTTGTGACAAAAACAACAGAAAGGGCCACTGAAGGCACTTGACAAAGAAACTGCACGCCACACGGCTGGTGAATAGAGAGCTGTGCTCGCCCCTGCAGCCTTCAGAGGGATTCAAGCATGCGATGCAAGTATGTGCACTAGTTGATGGGGAGGATCGGATGTTTGAGGTTCTCAAACTCTTTACAGTCTGAACAAAAAGCAGATCGCTTCTTCCTTGGCCTGTGGCCCAGACCTTTCAGAGACATGAATCACTCTTTTCTGCTGTCTGTCCATGAAAACTTTTGCCACCCTGTTGATTGCTTTCTATGCTATTTTGTCTTTAATGTTAATGGTAAGAGTGTGACCTCACGAAGCTGTGCTGCCTGTGACAACAGCACGCTGAACAACAGCTCCTGTGAATCAGTTATGCACCAGCGGTCTCCGCACCCATGCAAAAACGTAAGGGCCTGTCAGTGAATCCATAAATCGTCAACAATACACATGGACGCATTATGTGACCATATGTTTCATGCCTTTCTGAGCTCGCTCACGCTCTACTGTTCAGCACACCTGCTCATAAGTCTTAGAATGCCTGATGATGTTTTATGTTCGCTGAGCACTGGCTTTTCAAGGAGGCCGTGAGTGCTCTCTCCACAGGGGAGGGGTTGCGTAGAAGCGATGATGTCGCTTCGCTTTTCTGTTCGATTTGTGCAGAGTAGCTGTGATCACCGTCTAACCTGTTAGTCACGTTGGCACACACAAACATTTGTTTTCAGCGAGGTGCCCTCGATCGCCGCACTTCTGCCCCTCCGTCAGAGGCATGCACTGTCTAGCGTCCCATGCTATTTGTAAGACTCGCCCTTTTGTATTGGTCTGCTTTTTTCCCTTAGCTTTATTTAGTTTGCTTCATATTTACCTATGGGGTACAAACTAATCTCTTTGTGAGTGTATCTGTGTTAGCAACATTAGGTTTTTTGATGGGTTAGAAAAGATTTGTATATCTGATTTCTTTCCATACAACTTGAGTATTTTGGAAAAGCGCGTCAGTTCGGTGAGGCATTTAATAAAAACCTGGGTGTGACCTTTGCACCCAATGGTTTCATACACTGTTGAACTTTTATAGATTTTTTTCAATGTCTTCTAGAAAGAAGTAGAAAGAAAGAAAATGCCCAAAAAGCTTTTGGGATTTACCTACCTGGATGATTGAGCATGCATCAAAAAGTTTGTGTATGTTTATTAAAATAAGATATTTTAATATTTACCATAAAATTAATCAAACTTGTAATGCAAAAAAGTTGACATGATGTAAGGTTTCAATGCTTATTGATCTATAAGATTTCAAAAGAGCGCTTAGCAGTTGGATTAATGGAGTGATAAAAAACAATGTGGGCAGGGATGGAGCATCATGTCCTCTTAGGTGAGGCCTATTGCAGCATAACTAAGAGATGGTTCAGGGTAACCTGATCCAGGCCAAACTGAGGAACGTTTTAAGTCTAATCTTAAAAGTAGAGAGAGTGTCTGCGTCTTGAATCCAAACTGGGAGCTGGTTTCACAGGAGATTTAAATTTGGATTAAACAGGGAGTCAGTGAAGAGAAGCTACTATGGGAGACATGTGCTCACTTTTTCTAGTTCCAGTTATTGCTTTCGCTGTAGAATTTTGGATCCAGTGAAGGCTTCTTATGGTAATTTAAGAACAACCTGATTATAATGGATTACGGCAGTCCACGTAAAAAAATCACAAACTAGTTTTTCAGCATCACGTAGTGTTGGGCATGGTGGCGTCTAGGGTGGACCTAGCGTCTCACCAAATAATAGCTGGGTTTGATAAGCAGAAGAAAACGGATGGATGATTTGCAGTAAAAACAAATTGCAGAAACATTGTTGTCTTCTTTGTAATGATGTCAGTAAATCTGGAACCCACTGTGAGAAAAAGCTAAGTAAGCAGAAGGTACTTTCAGCTGCCGTCTCATTTTCCAGCACTTGATTTGGCACAAACTTTACATCGAATGCCTATCTTGACACGACCCTCCCATTAATCCACGCTTGGGACTGGAGTTAGGGTCACACTAGGTGGATTAATGTCCTCCCAGATATGAACCAGAGATCTTTACTGAATAAGGCAAATGTGTTAACTGCTATACCACAAGTTAAGCTAATGTAAGCATAGGTGGGTCCAGTATTTTGGCAACACCTGGTTGCTGAGTGATAGTCTGTTCCTCTAGCTGCCAAAAGTATTGAATTTATCCTAAAAGGCTATTGATGTAGTGCATTTCTACACAAGAAATTGTCCATGTAGTAAAAATTGGGTCAGCTCTTGACAAAACAATTGACCAGAACGGTCAACTCTAAGACTAAACACTGATACTTTTGTTTAGCAATTATAATGTTTACAAGTTATACTGACTATGTTGGTAAAAAAAAGTCCAAATGGAAGACTGTTATCATTTGTTCTCGAGCCATGATGTTTATGTGACAAAGAGCACTTTTGGCTGCCATTTCTCATATTTTGTGGTAGATAAAGTTGAACTGAATGATCCTCAGTCTGCCCACTGTTACGTCAGCCTCTTACGCGCACGTACATGCACACATTTTTATTTGTCTGCTCTGCAAAACACTGCAAATAATGCCATAACTGAAAGTATCTATCTGACAGTTTGTCTATTATTGTCATAGAAATCCTTTTGTACTGTAAGCTGAGTAGCATTCTTTGCCGATTGGCAAATGTTGGGTTATTACACTATAAAAATGTCTTGTTGCCTTTTCTGAATACTGAACAGCTTGCTCCTGAATCATCTGATTCTTGCAGTCGTGACCATAAAGTTTATACTTGTTAGTCATCTTCTTTTTCTTTCACCCCTCCACAACTTCCTCACAAGGCCATCTCCCACCTCGCAGGGTTTGTGTTTAACAAAGTTACTAAGGAGAAATGAAGACGAAAAAGAAAGTTCCTACCTGAATGTGTGGGTTTTAAGAGCTGTGCATTAACAACTTATCTGTGCTTTTTCTCTCCCTCATCGTTCCACACCTCTTTCTCTCTCCAATCTCATTCACGCTTTGATCTGTCTTCATCCGTCTCTTTCACCCCTCAACTTCCTTTCATGTAGGGGATGAAGTGGTTTGGCAGTATGTCCCTCAGCAGCAAAAGAAGTAAGAGGAGGAGTAGAAGGGGCAGCAATCGCAGCTGTAACGGCGGAAGTAATAGCACGCTGCTCTCCCTGGCTCTCCTGGTGGCGTTGACCATGATAGCCGATCCCGTGGCAGCTCAAAAGCAGCGAACTGGTGGCTCAGAAAAAGTGCCGGTCCTGAACATTGCAGTGATCCTGGGACGCACGCGCTACATCTCAGACCGGGACATCCGAGCGCTGTGGACCAAAGAAGACCCCATTGATGTCAACGTGGTCACACTGCTGGTCAATGAGACTGATCCAAAAAGCATCATCACCCACATGTGTGACCTGATGTCAGGAACCAAGATCCACGGCGTGGTGTTCGGGGACGGCACTGACCAAGAGGCCATCGCCCAGATTTTGGATTTTATTTCCTCGCAGACGCTTATACCAATCTTGGGCATTCATGGAGGGTCGTCCATGATCATGGCTGACAAGGTATGGAGAAGTAAACTGATGAGTGAAAGCCAGGATGTAGAGTGAGTGAACGGAAAGATGTTGTTGATGATGGATGGACGCAATAGTGAGTAAAGTATATGAGAAAAGACTGATGGTTAAATTGCTTGGCTTTGTGTGATTTGCCAAAAGTTGCGGCTTTCGGGCATTTTACTGTTATAACCGTCAACAACTCGTGAAATCAAACTCTTGCCGAGTGAAGGGAGTTCTCACCAAATAGCTGCACCTCACATAATATCATCAGTTGGTATCTCGAAAAAGAAGCTGCAGAGCCAGGGTGTAGATGGTAGAAAGACGTGTGGAGGAGCGAAAACAAGGTAGGAGGATGAGGTAAGTATCTGCAGAAAAGTGTTGGAGGACTGGTTTGGAAGGAGAAAGTATTTAAAAAGAACAGGAGAAAGGACAGAATGAGGGATGTAGTGACTAAACAAGAGAAAGGCGAGGAGAGAGCGCAAGAGAAGGAAATGTGAAAGGAGTGGGTGTTGCCGTAGCCTGGCTAACACTGACTGCGTGGTGCAGTGTGCTCTAATCTGGGAAATCTCCATTCATTGTGCAGGATTCCCTCAGACATGGTGCAGGAGTCTTGATTGGTCCCCTCATTTGAATAAGCAAAGCCAGTCTCATCGAACCCTGAATAGGAGCAGATGAACAGCGCATGATTGTGTGGTTTCATGTGTCAGTGCTTAGCTCCTGGAATTTGTCATATTTGCCAGATTGTAACAGAGGGAGCGGGGCAAGATGAGAATTGTTATGTGGAGATAATAATTTCATCATATTAAACTGTTAAAGGACACCTTTAAGAAAGCAATCCTTTGTGATACAAGTGAAAACCTATATTGCATCATCCAGGTGAGCAACAACGGTTTTGTCCAAAACAAATTCTTTCCTGTACTGTAGCTCAGCAATTGGGAGCTTGTTGAGTAGAACTGAACGCCATTTATAAATATATATTACCACCTTCATTAGTTTAGAAGAATCAGAACCAGAAAAGAGGACAGAAATGCACATGTGCGTAGTAATAAATAAAATGTACGTAGTGATGTCGAGCAACATTGATACAATAACCTGCCACAATCATAGAATTTAAGGTTCACCACTGCAGATAATGGAGGAAAACTGCTCCTCTGTGCAGTGTGTTACAATAATGATGCCATTCTGCGTTTTAATGCACTGGTTGTCCATGCACTGATCTCACTGGGTATTGCAGCAGTCCTCGCTCCTTCTTGATCACCGAACAAACACAACATATCCAGAGAAAACATGTCTAAATATGTACATTTGGTCATGCACAGATGTTGGCTGAGGAAGGCAGAGAGTGATCTGTCTCTGGACATATCTGGAGCGGTGGCTCTGAGAGGTGAAGCATACTGTTACTCAAGAAGACAGGAACTAGAACAAAAAGCTGCAAAAAGCACACAAACACAATGAATGTGTCATAAAACACAACGGAAACAAAAAAATGCCATCATAACTCACAAAAAAAACCAAAACATACCAGAAGTGTTTTGGGGAGACAATAACGTGACGGAACAGCTGCGGACATGACAAGCTTCCAGTAAGTGTCCAATACCAAACAAGTACCTACAGTATTATATGAATCATGGATTTAAAACACACATGACATGCATCTTTTGCTACCTGACAACACCGATGAATCCACTGCTTATTTTAAGTGTGTCTCAGTGCAATCTTTCACTTATTTTAGCTTCTGTCACTTTAGCAGTTGCTAGATCACATTATTGTCTCCCCAAAGATACTTACATTGTGTTTTCTGAGGTTTCAACTTCCATTTTTTTTAAATATATAACTTCCACTGTGTTTGTTGTGTTTTGTATGCTTTTGACTTTTTCTGTTTGCTGGTGTTTCCTTAAGTCTGAGTGTGTTTGACCTCTCATACTCAATATCTTTAGATTTACATTCTCACATTTGCTGTCGGTGACTTCGATGAAAGCCTGACCAGCTTTATGGTGTTAGATATATGTATAATTGCTGTAAACCAATGAAACTGTTGTGCTTGTTTCGTTAGTGCTAATGTTACTCAAGATTACAGCTACACTTCCTCTGAATTCTTTCATTTCCTTCCCCATCCTAATGGCTGTAGTGTGTCTTAAGTCTTTTCTACCACTTTTCTCTAAACATTTCTCTCTTTTCAAGATCCTCTTGTTCAAGAAAATCTTAAATCTTTTGGTCCATTTGCCCTTAAAGGAAAAGCGTCAATCTTCGTGTTTTATGCCATTAAGCTATCTTCCTCTAAAGTAGTTCAACAGATTTTCCACCAAATCTGACCCTGTGGTCCACAATAAAACATGCAGTTTGGTTAAGACTGTAGAACCTCTCAGAGATTATCTTGTTTATTTACAGTAAATATACAAATGTCTTAAAGGTACTGCGGTAATGGTTTATTGATCCTGTAATGCTAGATGTGGCACAGTTCTAACAGATAGGAGGGATGGAGAGAAGCAGATAAGTGCTGCTGGAGGGGGCTGAGGAGGAGGGAGGAGGTGTGAGCTGGAATAGAGTAGGTGGAGAGGGGATGCGGAGAAATGAAGGGGTAAGAGATAATCCCTCTTTTTGACCAGAGGTGATGTTGAGTGGAAGGGAATTACTGAATGTCCTGATTGGCACCTGCCACACTCCACCTATTTCAGTAAAACACACACACACACACACACACACACACACTTAGTTGTGCTTCCTTCAGGGTCACAGGACATTACATTGACTTACAATTATTTTCTGTATTTTTACTCAAACCCAAACTGTAACTACTCCCTGCTTAAGGCCTCAGTCACACAGGTCTAGAGACAGGTTGGCAACCACCAGTTGCTAGGCCAACATTAATATTTCCATACAAGCTATGAGTGACAAGCAGCAATGTGCAAGTGACTGATGAAATCACAAGGTTTTTGGTGCAACATTGCAAACCTCTTTGCCACTGGTTTTTAACCATTTTTAGCAACCTTCACAAACCATTTGGCAAACAGTTTGTGAATACACAAATTTTCCTCACACCTGATCAGTCTTTAGGCCTGTATGATGGGAACTTTAACAAATGTTTTCACAGTGACTGTCACCAACCTACAGCAAACCCTTCGACCGGTTGGGGAACACACATTTTTCCTGGTAATCAGTGTTAGCAAGGCTTATACCAAGTGGTATCTAGGCCTGCTAGTAACTCTAGCTTAAACTAGACTTAACCTTAGGCTAGACTTAAACCAACTCTTAACACCAAACTGCAATTATTTTTGCTACGGGGACAGTGCTCTACATTTTGATTGTGTAAATAGATTTTTGTCTCCACAACACTGCTAATAGAAGTATACACTAGACTTGTAGTCAAGATTGCCTAAACCAAGACCAAGACAATAGCAAGACCAGAGGGTATCAAGACCAAGACAAGACCGAGTCAAGACCAAGACAAAGTCGAGACGAGACCGAGACCAAGACAAAAAAGTTTAAGCGTGTCAGGCATATTTATGTATTTTTGCAATGCACTCGCACAGCCCTCCTCACCGCTGTCTACTGACTCACTCACTTACTGAGAGGACAGATGCACGCTCCACCTGACTGTCGCGTCTCTCACCCTCTCTTTTTTTTCACAAAATGATGTTATCCTATATCCTCGCATGTGATTGGCCACAATATGGAGGGATTAGAGCATAGCTGGGCAACTGTGTGAGAGCTGAGCAGCGAAAGGAAATTAAGTGAGGAGCCGCGTCTCGCTCAATGGGAGTCGATTCTTCTGATTCACTACAAAGCACTCTGTAAGCATGGCTCTTAGAGCTGATGCTTTTGCGCATGACACATTATCGAACGTTACGTTGTGTGCCATGGATACTGTTGACTCCAAATCTCCCGACCACTATGTCGATTTGAGACAGCAAGACCGAAGTCCGTCGAGACCAAGTCAAGACCAAGACCACGTAAAAGTGGTCTCTAGTATACACTATATTTCTCCTGTCAGCACATCATATTAGGAGAAAATATTCCACTTTAAAGTGCTCATCACAGCACTTTGTCTTCTCTTTGCTCTGCTTTGCACCTTTTGTGTAGCTTTAAACCTACATAGTGCTCATCCAAGATGTAAATAGTCCTTACACATTAGATATGATGGACTGTATGTTCCTTTTGAGTGAAAATCTTGTGACTTACATAATATAATACGTAATAATGCTTTCAGCTCAGTCACTACATTCCAAAAAAAAAAAAATCGTTTTCAGTGCATAAAATTCTTTGTTACTCTCAATACTTTTTTACGTATATTTTTGGTGTGCAGAGCTATAAATTGTTATAGGAGTGGTTGGACTGGTTTAAAAACATTTTCTCATTGTGTTTAATAGGAAATTCAGGCTTGAAGTTTGACCAGAAATGGTTTTCTGTGCACTTTAACACATGTTAAGGGGCATAACTTAATATACGATGAAGACCCTTACAGACTTTGCCTCTGTGGTTTCCTCTCATTTCTTTGCAAAGGTTATATAATGTCTCACCCTCCGTAGTTAAAGGTTTATTCGGCTACTTTAGTGAGTAGCCGGGCCTCCGTGCCGCCTTCTTCCAAGCAGATTTCCGCTAATCCTCATGTGAAATATGAGGTGAAGCTCGCCTCCAATGATTATGCCTCGTAAGACCCTCAGTATGTTTGTCTGTTCACGATTACGCCTCCGCGCTTGTATGATGTGTGTGAAAATTCCCTACGTATACGTTACATGCTTTAATGCCTTTGCGTGCACTTTACCTCGTGCGTGTAAGTTTTGTTTGCCTTGAGGCTAAATCTCTTGGTGCTGTTGACTCCCAGTCAGACATTTCCACGTTAGCCTCTGGAGAATACCATCTAAGAGTTTCCCCCTGTAATACTCTGAGAGCAGGCAGGACTCAAAACGCAGACTCGGATTGTAGTTTGCTGAGTTTATTTACAGTGATGCAAAAAAAGGGATCATGTACAGTCTCTATGCAAAGTATCCAAGCCGATGGTCCAATGGGTT